CAGGGGACACCAGAAACAGGCTTCACACACTGCACCTATATGGGGAATCAAACCCGGGTCTTTGGCGTGACGATCGAACGCTTTAACCACTACGCTACCTCCCCGCCCCGAAAAGCATTAAGAAGTTAGAAGTATATGAACACATGAATCTTTTTATTGATAACGACTTCTTTGTTGTTTGTAACACCATTTCAGGGCTACTCCTTAGCCCTACTGTACATCAATGAATGATGAAGAGGCAAGATTAATATTAGTAGCCCTGAAACGTCAAAGAAGTTTATCCATAAAACGTTTCATGTCTTCATTCTGTTCATGATCAATCTAGCAAATAATACTTCATGCGTCATTCCACCATATGGCACTCCTTGCACCATTTATACCTCGAGTGGAAAATGGCATTGTTTGATAAATAGGAATAAATACACATATAACTAAACCATACATATATATTTCCTGATAACATACACACATACATTACTCCCCAAATCATATATATATATAAGTTGCTTAACCCTGATTTGAACAATACTATTGCTGTTTGAACAGTGTCCTAGAACAAAGCATTCTGATTATCTTACTGTAAAACAGAGAACATGTAAATGCTTGGTATGACAAATAGACATGTTGAGCAATAATTGATGGTTCATTAAAACTGACATTTGAAAGCTGCTGTAAAACTAAGCAATCATTGATGTTCTCGTTATATCTGACATTTTGCTGCCGCCTCGTATACATGGTGAGATGTGGTGAAAGGGGGTGTAATGTTGTGTTCAAGATTATTGCGACGCACTTATATTGTGATGTGCATGCGCATCTGTTGCTGCTTGAACTAGCCTGGACAGGTAGTGCTCGTCGATTGAGATACCCCAGTTTAACATGGACACCCCACTCAGACCAAGTATACTGACTCCAAGCCGACTTGTCCTTGTCTTATCTCCTTAATGTCAAGCGCCAGGCAGGGTAACCATGGCAACACGTTCCACCTTTTAATGTCTTTTGGTATGATGTGGCCAGGGAACGACTGATTGACCTCTGGGCAGACGCTTATATATAATAGCCACTAAACCACTGAGTTGGCCCATGGTGGTATACATGGTGTATGACAATATGACCATTCATTATTGTATGGACTTCGAATAGAGGTGAAACGATACGGTGGGGTCCTGATACGATACATATCCTGATACTATGGGTGTGATATGATTCATATCCTGATACAGTACCTTTATTTCACAAGTTGATATTCTTTCTTTTTCCAGGTGAATCACAACCCTGAATCATTTGTTATTGAATATTAAAGATCAAAGATGGGGCATTGTAGGACAGAAACATATTGGTAGAGGGCACTGTGAATGCAATGCTATTTATGTCCAATCATGAAATATTAGAGAACCTGCAAAAGCTGGTGGTTGAACAGTTTCTGTTATTATTCACATGTTTTTACACCAATATAACTTGTAATGAAATGTGTCGAATGTATAGCGACACAGGGGTTGTAAATCGATGTATTGTATCGTGGGCCTCGTATTGGGATACAATAGTGTATTGTTGTATCATTACACCACTAACTTAAACAGGGGCGGTGGGGTAGCCTAGTGGTTAAAGCGTTTGCTCGTCACGCCCAAAGCCCGGGTTCAATTCCCAACATGGGTACAATGAGTGAAGCCCATTTCTGGTGTCCCCCACCGTGATATTGCTGGAATATTGCTAAAAGCGGCATATAACCATACTCACTCACTCACTAACTTCAACAAATTCCACATCTATTGTGTCTCAATAAAAGACAAATAAACAACAGTTTGTTTGTTTGATGTTTACGTTGCGCTCAGTAATATTCCAGTTATACGACGGTGGTCTGTAAATGATTGAGTCTGGAGCAGACAATCCAGTGATTGAAATCTTGGGCATCAATCCATGCAATTGGAATACGATGACGGGCATCAACCAAGTCAGCGAGCCTGAAAACCCGATCCATTTAGCACATTCGCCTTTTACAGCAAGGATGGGTTGCTGACCTATTCTACCCCAGGTCTTCACTGGCCTAAATAACAACTACCTCCCCTACCTCCCCTACAAAGTATCACAGCACTGAACACTGAAGAACAGAATGTTAACATTCCAATTCTCATTTTACCTTGTTTTCAATTAATCAACCAGTTTAAATCAAAATAAGAGAATGTATAATGCTATTCAATATGTTCCTTAATTAATGTATTCACATGACTGATAATAAAATCATTATACAAGACCCAGGTCAAGCGTAGACAGACAACCTACCGTATTCAACGTAATAAGCACCCAGGGTGCTCTCAAAATTAGAAATAGGGGGCTCTTATTAGAATATGATTTTGGTGAAAGTGTTCAAAGATCGTAAATTTTGTGGTTTATGCTGACAGCCTGAAATGATACAAAATAAAAGTCTGTGCGTATTATACATGACAAATATATTTTTCCGTAATTAAGGGTGCATATAACACACGAGTGCTTATTATTTATACACGAATAAACAAGTCTTGTGTACATTGATCAACCGGAAGAGGTGCTAATTGGGATTGTTCACTTGCCAATATATTAGCAAATATCACTGTGGGCGCTTATTAGAGCGGGGAGCTTATTAAGTCGAATACGGTGTATGAGTCATTGCAGGGAATGAAATTAGCACAAGCCTGACCAGTTTGGCTAATGTTAAACATGATAAAGAGCGAGTAGAGCTTCAAACATTTTGGGGGTATTAATACTATTATTATATGCATATGTTTTCATTATTCAGGCTCGTAGACGTTCTTGATTAATTGCCATCTCTGCATCTATATAGTCAAGGGAGCACACTCCTCTCAACAACATATCGCAAGTCCTCCTTCCATGGTGGTGATAAGTATATTGATTTATCATCCGAAGCCAGTCTAGATTCCTTCCTAAGCATGCATAATTATTTATCTACCATCATGTGACCATTGCCAACCTGCCTACATTATTTTATAAAAACAACATGTGCCTCGATATTCTTGATTTTGTCAGTGTTAGGCTTTGCAAACATTGGGTTGTTTTTACTTTTGAATTACCATATTAACATGATCAAGTGCCCTGCTTCAATTAGCACCCCTTCTTCAGCTACTTCACAAATCTGTCAGTACCCAGAACTAAGGTCTAAATTTTGCAGGACAGTCCATAGTTTGTGATAGGGGTGAGATGAGTGAGTGAGTATGGTTTTACGCCGCTTTTAGCAATATTCCAGCAATATCACGGCGGGGGACACCAGAAATGGGCTTCACACATTGTACCCATGTCGGGAATCAAACCCGGGTCTTTGGCGTGACGAGCGAACGCTTTAACCACTAGGCTACCCGACCGCCCAGGGGTGAGATGATACACCCCAGCAATTTTGTCAGTCAAATATTGCAAAATGTGTTGCAATTAGTTTTGCAAGTTCACCACTAAAATAGACGATAAGAACATGTGTCTACGGCTAGATTTTCCTTTTGAACTTGCTCTTCAATATTTAAACTCAAGAAGTCTCCACTCGATCTGACGTAAAATATGTGTATCGCGATACGTATCGTATCATGACCTATGTATCATGATACACATCATATCGTGACCTTGCTTTATCGTTCTACCCCAAGTATATGACAGAAAAAACAGCAGTGTACATGGGGGTATGTAACTGTGTGTAAACTATTACAGTGAATATGGTAAGTGACTCTTACTGGCTGTGGTAACTAAAACATTCACCAAGTGTTTCAGATAAGAAAAGCTAATCTATTCAGCGAGCTGCCAAAGTATACATGGTGTACGTGTATCAGACAAAATGTGTTTTAGAAACGCAAATGTTATGTTTGGTACTTATCAATATCTTGCACCAAAGTTCAACTTTCCTTCCAGCTTGATAATTTTCATGAACCACTTGAACATGTTGAGTAAACAAGATAAACGCATGACTACAATATTTCTACATAAACAGTATTTGATATACCAGGAACTGGTATTAAATTTTGAAATATATTGCAGCATTATCATGACTATCCCTCATAAAGTTTAGCTTGAAAGTATCGTTGTAGTGACAATATTCAGAAGCTGTGAAGAAAGCAATAACACATGAGCACCAGCTGTTGGTCATGTTTAATGTTTTTGAAAGTTGTGGGTCGAATTTGCTGAACAGTGAGTGAGTGAGTGTGTTCTATCATACAAAAAGCTGTTTTATTTTAAGGTATTAAAGTGTGTACCAAACATCGAGTGGGGCTCAGATTAAATTGAAAATCATTATGAGAGCAGCAACATATGTAGTCAGTATGAGGTGAATATCCAAATTTTCAGTTTTTGTTTTTATATATGACCATACCAAATGTCTTATCATGGGCAGGAATATACGGTGGACCATACCCGCCACTGGTGAGATCATTTTCACTGTATGCCTCTATATTTTGCCAGATACTCCTAGTTTTAATTGCTCATCGTCCAGCTGATACCTACTTTAGAATCAAAGTTCAATCTTATGGATACAATCTTCAACCTGTCAATTGCCAGGACACTGATCTGGAAGTAATTCTGGTCGCATGTGGTAAGCCAATTTGAAACGAAAAGTATCTGACAAAATATAGAGGCATACAGTGAAAAATGATCTCACCAGTGGCGGGTAGATGGGCCACCGTAAGAATACACATCAACAATTCTTTATATTTCATTTACGTTTGGACCCATGCGGCTGTTAACATGGTTACAGTGAAGGCAATTTCCAAAAAAAAATTAAAACATTTATATATTTTATGACCATATATGATGACATGTTGCAGTATGAAATTTGGATTTGACTGACTATACATTGTCATCACAACTATGTAAACAAAGGAACTCGATATTGGTCAGTAAATAAAAATATACCCCCTATATATAGTCTCTACTTATATAAAGGGGGTATAGTTTTATTCAATGACCAATAACGAGGTCCTGTGTCTGGTCACTATGACTAGAGGAGTCAGAAAGCGTCAACATCGACGTCTCACCTTCGTCAACATCGATTGTGGATGTCGCAGTGTTGGTGCTCGTGAGGAAAAGCGCTAGTACCAGTGTTCCGATCTGTCGTCCACGTGTGCTCCAAGTGCTGACACCAGTTTCTGGAAACATCGTCCTGTTAGATGTGTACACCCAAGTTTAGAACTGAAACAACTTGCGTTTCCTGATACGACTTTTCGTACACGCTCACAACAAGCCAACTGGTAGAATCACACGTTCAGGATGTCGCATCCCTTCCTGTTGGTAGTTTCTTCACAAAGCACGACATGGGATCCACGTGACGCGTGTCGACAACATATGTAGGGCTAATCTACGCGAAGCCTATCCGCTGAACGAAATAATTCTTGCCCCGATCGATATAAACACTATCCCAATGTCAATGTCGCCGCGCATGCGTATTGCAATCTAACGTGTTACACCTCAAAAAAGAGGGTTTAGACAGCTGGCTGCCCCCGTCGGAGTTTGTGAACAGCTTGCAACTCTGTCCATTGATTATGTAACATTCATTTACCAGTTATCTGGTTATGTCGACGTTGGTTGTGGTTCAGTTGATAAGACAATGATGAGTACAAAGAAATTAGTTATAGGCCTCTAAACTTATCCATGCATTTATCAGCGGTTTTCAGAAATACAGGTGCGTGGCATGATAAGGCAAATGTAGAATATTATCTTATCTTTTCAAACAAGAAAGCCTTAAAGACTCTTATCATTTGTGAACGATAAAATACCTTTTGTTTTGTTGTTGTTGTATAACGCCGCACTCAATTCCAGCTATATATGACGGCGGTCTTTAAATAATCTAGTCTGGACCAGATAATCCAGTGATTGGCATCATGAGCATATAAATAGACGTATTCCATATGATCCTTATAGTTAGAATTGCCTAAAATGTATTACCTAATAAGTATTTGGCTTGAGATGTTTGAAGCAACATTTCTATTAGTGTGTAAAAACTATAAATATGGTTTGTGTTATTGTGTTTACTTTTTTTTTCAGTTAACATGTTAGGAGGGGCGGTCGAGTAGCCTAGTGGTTAAAGCGTTCGCTCGTCACGCCGAAGACCCGGGTTCAATTCCCGACATGGGTAAAATGTGTAAAGCCCATTTCTGGTGTCCCCCGTCGGGATATTGCTGGAATATTGCCAAAAGCGGCGTAAAACCATACTCACTCACTCACTAACATTTAGTGTTTACTTCTTTATTACTGACATCAAAACTGCTTGACAAAACATCACAAACACTCTGGTAAGCAAAGAACGGTAAAACATTTATGTGCACGTTTGTGAATTTTATCCGTATTCGTACTAGTTAAAGGTACAGTGTGTCATCTGCATGTGAACAGCTGTGACTGTATGTTCGCTCATGCCCGCAGGGGAAATTCCCAAGGCCTTAAATTATTGTTTATTAATATCACGTGTCATTATTTGTCGGCCATCTGCGTGTTGATAACGGATCCAACTGATTAATGTAGGAATAGCCATCGATGAATTGATGTCCATATGTTCTGTGATGAAAACAGCTGTAGTGTAACACCAACAAAACATGAAATCGAACTCATGCATGTCGTGGAGAAGAGCAACATAAAGGTCCTGTAAAAAATAAGGTTCTTACATCATTTACTTGTTGAATCAGACAAACCAGTGATTGTCATTATGACCAACATTCCGTGTGTGTGTGTGTGTGTGTGTGTGTGTGTGTGTGTGTGTGTGTGCGTGCGCGTGTGTGCGTCTGTCTGAGGGGTTAACCACACACACGGGAATGGATCTTCACACAAGCTGATGGTTATCATGCTTACACGCAACATTTACCACACGTTGGTATTCAATGAAATATTCATAACTGTACGAATTATATACTTTGATCGAAATTACACCCTAGTGTCGTTTTTCCATACTGATGTATCTTATTCTGAAGCCAGGCACATATGCTACTACATCGGGTCTTTATGACAATCAATATAATATCTACACCTATAGTATTCGAATGACAAATTATGAGTCGTGAACATTGGCAGAAAGATCGTTGTAAGGTTTGTGTACAACAGGTATACTCTCCTCTTTCCACGTGAGTACAGCTAACATGTAGATAATACGACAAGGCATCTGTATTTTCTGTACAAGATCCATGGATGGAATCCATTAATCTTTACTAAGAAAATATGTTCACAACTGATAAATAAAACATATATTTCGAGATGATCATGACCAAGAAAAGTTACAATGTAATGTAAGTAGGAAATGTCGAATAACAAACATCCATTTATCAATATGTATCGACCAGTAGCATTTCTCTTGGTTGTGATTAATGAACTTTTTATCAAAATATTACTTTGTAAATATCCTAAGTACTGTGTTTTTTCCTGTTAAAACCAGCATTGAATCACAAATGTTGCTCTTTCTGTGCATACCTATAATAGAAAATAAATAAATTGAAACTAAATTATATTTTATTTAGTAAAGCTGAAATCATAATGGTTTAAAAACAGCAAACAGCAACCACTTGCCAATCGAACAATTTATCAATACTGAGATAGAATAAGGATATAAGCATCCAAAAGTGGCCTTATAAACGACCGGGCGAAAGAATGTACACACCTATGTTTGATGATAGTAAAATATGAATTTCTGGTGTTTCCCCGTCGTGATATTGCTGGAATATTACTAAAAGCGGCGTAAAACAATACTCACTCACTAAATATAATTACACAGCAGCAAACAAGAAAGGGTTACTCGATGGTGATGTATTTGATACGGGTACCATAGGCGTTATTACATGCAACATATCAATGAGTATATCACAACAGGTCAGCCTAGTACCGTTTCGATAAGGCTTGTAAATTTGTGGTCAAATATATTTATATATATATAAATTGTCACTTGTGAAAATAATGTACATACATACATATAAACCCTTGAAGGATATCAGTCTCATCTTCGATAGTTACGATATCATAATAAAATGTAAGACAATTATGATCCATAAAACTGTCTGTACAATAGTTTTATGTGTAGATTTGTTTTCACTTTAAAAAAAGATATGATGAAATTACGAATGAAAAGTTAGTTTTGTATTTGTCTTTTTATATCTCCGTCCATGTTTTGTCAATATTCAACACAATACTAGAATAGCCAAGTATTGTCGAGCTGTTGTCGGATCCCATAAAATCATGTTTGTCTTTTGAAGTTTTAAATGGGGTTCGAGCAGTTTGGTTTATAGAATGTGTGACCCTACTGAATGTTTCATTATGCCTTTACTGTGTGGAGGGGGCACGGGTGCAGAGTTGCGTCCCTTGGACGCGCCAGAAACTTATGATCGTGGGTTCGAATCCCTAGGCCTGTTCGCCCCGATTCTGTTTCTAGGTTTATCAGCACCATGCCCGTACTCGTGGGTTTCGGCAAAGTGGTAAACGTCTGAGACCTGCATCACTTCAGGCTTTCCTCCCACATTAAGCTGACACGCCGCGATATAACTGGAATACTGTTCCAAGCGGCGTTAAACCCAACTCACCCTCTCACTACTGTTTGGATCGTGCACAAGCAGCCAGTAACTGGTTTGTCTGACTTGAACCCGTGTATTTAGATGGATCGTGATACATAGGCTGTAGTTGGAAGTGTTGCTGGCTTTTGCGTTGTTTAACATGGCCAGGGGAGAACATCAACGTTGTTGTTGTGTAGACAGGCTCTTGTGATCCGTGCTGTGTGCGACCGAGCGTTGTCCAGCTGGAATACGCCGTTGGCTGCAACTGGGAGGACATGTGGTAGGAGAATTTCGTTGATGTATCGTTGAGCCGTAAGATTGCCCTGGATGTGGACTAAACCTGTCCTGCCATGATGAGAGATAGCCGACCACATCGTAACGCTACCCCCACCAAACCTGTCCACTTCCTGTACGCAGTTTCCGGCGTAACGTTCTCCCCGACGTCTGTAGACCTGTGCTCATCCATTCCCTCGACGGAGGAGAAATTTTGATTCGTGGCTGAATCAGACACCTCTCCATCTCAGTTGAGGCCATACACTGTGTTGACGACGCCAATGCAGTCGTTGTTAATGATGTTGTCGACTCAATATGACGCGTCGAACAGGACGTCTTGCTCGTATACCTGCTGCTTTTAAACGGTTTCGTACGGTCTGGTTGCAGATTCTGCGCAGTCCGGGTATTTGGGATGCGGTTGAGGTGGCTGTGGTCGCAGTCGGATGTAGCGATCTTGGGCGAGGTGGTTACTCTTGGTCGTCCCGACCTTGGCCGATCCCGTGTTGACCCATGCCGTTGAAACCGATCCCATAGCCTTGTGATGGTGCTGGGCACTACATTGAAAACCCTGGCTACACCTGATCGGGATTCCCCTGCCTGCAAGCGGCCTGTGACGTTGCTTCTTTGCACTTCTGTTAATCTTGGCATGTTGAACTGCCACTGTCCGATTGACGTAGGTGCCAGGCTGTATAAAACCCTGCACTTAAATACCGTTAATAGTGCTGCTGCACTTGCAGTGCGTACAGCTCCATGGCCCTTTTGTTAATGCACTGGGTGCGTTTTTTTCCGAATCGTACGTGTTTCCCGACTACATGTTTGCATATCCTTGTTGTGATCATTTTGATCCGGGAAACTTGTCACTGACACCATAACACATTTAACCTCTTCATTTTGCACCTCTTGGTCCGCTAAGTTGGCTTTTAAAGCCAAAAATATTGAGTTTCTTTTTTAAAGAGTATATTATTATAACAGAACCGTGCAACAATGCAATACACTACTCGGACCCGCAAACACCTAGCTCTAACGTGTTAGTCTCTGAACTCTTCAACATTCTTAATTCCACCGGGGGCCCAGTCGTCCAAGGCGCCACGATTTGCTGTGCAGTTGCGTCCCTTTGGCACGCCTGAAGCCTATGTTTTTGGGTTCGAATCCCGGTTCACCCCGATTATGTTTCTAGGTTTGTCAGCACCAGATCCGTGCTCGTTGGTTTCACCGAAGTGGTAAACGTCTGAGACCTGCATCACTTCGGGCCTTCCTCCCACATTAAGCTGACACGCCGCGATATAACTTATACGGTTAAAGCGTCGTTAAACCCAACTCACTCACTCACTTAATTCTACAACCTGTATATTACTCTTCACATTTGACACACTTTTCGTGTAATATTAATGGTAAGAATCATCCTCTCTACATACTCGTGTACCCGCTCTGGTAACGTGTTACTGGCTTTGAAAAGGTACATACTATCTCAAACAATAGAGGGTGAGATTTTATCCGCGAAGCATTAAACGCAGGTGTGGGGTTAATCGAATCGGCTCAATAATTTTTCTCTACCGGTATACGGTCTCTTACACATGTTTTAGATTTTTTTCCAGTAAGCTTTTCACGCTCTTGTCTTACCACCTCAAAACCA